GAGTATCTCTTTTTGTGTCTCTTATAAAATATAGGAACATTCTTTGGAATTATGATGTCACTATTCCCTTTCAAGTACTCTTTCCTTCATGTTAACGTTTTGCATCCCATGTACACCTTACTAATAAGACTCATCATTACTGCGGCTTCCATTCTCATCTACTTACTAAGCAAGGCAGGACTTGAACCCAAGGCAGACTGGCTACTAATCAGGCTCTAACACACAGCTAGCTCACCTACATCCATCTGCAAGGCATGAGCTGTTGCCCCAGGGGAGGTGAATCAAAACATGCAAAAGCAAGGTGCGCAGAAGCGTGGCTGCTGAGGGTGAAGCACAGTGTGGCCTGCTGGTCTCCAGGGTGTGGCACCCCAGGGTCCAGGGAGCAGCCAGCACGAGGCCACCCAGAGCCCCCCGTCTGCCCCGCACAGCCGCTGGACGCACCCCATGCCTGCCAGGAGCATTTCCGGGACATCACAGGGCAGCAATGTCAGTTTTCCTAAGCAATGGGAAAAAGAAACACCCCCTCAACCTGTTGATCCCATTTTATTTTGCAACACAGAAATGACTGCTTTCAACTCGAGCCAAAAATAATCTCCTGAGTCATGGGGGTTACTTTCTGAGCGGTGCCCTTACTCTGTGCTTGTCCTAACTGGAAAATGACCGGGCTGAGTCCACTGAGCCTCTCAGGGGGCCTGGCCTCAGGCACTGGCCACAGCCCCGTCAAGAAATAAAATAAATAACGAAGTTGAACGAGGAACAGACTTGCTTTTCGAAGCCCACTTAAACAAATCTAAAGATGAATTTTTCAAAACCCAAAAATGGAAGGCAGTTAAAGCTATTATGTAGTCAATCAAGCAAGGTGAATGCTTCTGAAACGCTCAGCTGAATTCTCAAATTTCAAATTCTTCAGGTTTGGTCGCTAACCAGTTTTCTCAGAGTCCTTTATAATGGAATTTTATGATTAAAAATGCATTTGATTAGTTTTCCAAAAAATAAAAATAAAAATAAAAAATCAGAATCTTCTTGAAGAATGCGGGCTTCTGAGGAAGCCTTTCAGGAGTGCTGTCACTGGAGGCCGCGTACCTGCACACACCATCTGGAGACGGGTTTTTCAGCAGGTCCACGTAGACAGTGGCTTGTTTGACATCTGTCCCCTTTCAGTCCACTGGGACACCGTGAGCAGGTGAGGCCATGTCAAACACCGCTTTTGGGTATCCCGAGAGTCCCCGGGTGTGACAGGCGGACACTCTCTCAGTAACCCTGTTTCATGATTTCCTGCCTGCAGCGTGGCTACCCGCTGAAAGTCAGCTTGCTCCCTGCCTTACAAAACGGCGGGACCCCAAAATGCCAGTCATTCTGAGTTATAGAGTATCCTTAGATTTGTCCTTTGGTAAAGAATTCCGGGGGGGAAGGAGGAAGGCGACAGGAAACACTCTGTCACCTTCACCCACAGCCACGTTCTCAGACAGGCGACCCATCAATAACGAGTCACCAAGGCTGTGACAAAGGACCTGACGGGTGATGGATTTAGTGGTGGTGGCAGGGAAGGGAGAAGGAGGAGTCCCAGATGTCTGCCACTTATTTATGACCGGAGTGCGGTTCCGCATCCCTCATCTCAAAGTTGTCCGGGGATGACTGGATGGAGAAGAGCTCTCTGACTCAGCTCTTAAGTCTTAAGTCGCCCGTTCATAGCCTTTTACCTCCAGGACAGGGAGTAAAAGAAAGCTCGACTGAAAATCCCTTCGCTGTAAAATTGAGTGCATCATAAAATAACTGTAAAATCAATATTTAGTGTTAGGTCCGTTTAAAGTGTCACGCTTTGGAAAGGTCTTAATGTGGCCCCTGGGGGGCAGGCGAAGGAGTGCCTGTGTGTGGGATATTACCTCGTCAGCCCATATCCCGGGTGAGACCAGCTTAAGAGTGGGTTCTTCTGCTCTGTCCTATGTGTGCTAGGGGTGATGTGGGGTCGGGGTGGGGGCAGAGCCAGGAAAGGAAAGAAGACAGAGAGAAGAGAAAAAGAAGAGATACATACATGGTTATTAAGGATCCTCAAAAGCCCAGCTTTCTTTGTTTTGTTAGTTGTTTACATCTCCCCTCCTCCCACCCCTCACCTTTCCAGTTGTTTAGCTTCTGGTCAGACCAGTGAGCTGCCCTGGTAAAGGGGGAATCTAAGACTAGAGCTCAGGAGGCTGGAGGGGAGGCGGTGGGGCAGACAGGGTGCCCTGGCATGGCACCAAGGAAGTCCATGTTCCTTTGATGGATTCATCAGCGAGGGTGCCGACACGTCGTGCCTCAGTTTCCCCACCATAGAGGTGGTAAGGTCAGTCCCCTTCTGTCCCACACGGCACGTTTCTGACAAACCCACCTGAGGTCTACGCTCAGAGTGGAAAATTATCAAGGGCTGATGATGCCAGGTGTGTGGGTGCCCACCTCCAGAACACGATGAGAGAGGAGGGATGGGTGGGGGTCGGAGGAAACAAGATGGCTGGGCTGAGGCCTGTTTATGAGGTTTGGGCGTGTCAGGAGGTATCATCTCTGTGCTAATGCAAGGACCTCTCTGTCCCCGGCCCCAGCGCCTTCTCCTCACCAACCACCACCCTGCAGAGCCTTCTGAATCCTTATCACTGCTGCTTTTCCCCACCCAAGTTAATTAAGGACTCTTAACAAGGAAGCACCTATTTCCTCCAACTTCAGCTTCAGAATGCTCTTGAAATTCCCATTACTCCTTTTGGGTCTTTGACATTATATTTCATAAAAATCTCGAACTAGTTTCCATGAAGCCTCTCCAGCAAATCAACGTGTAAGCACCACAAGGGAAATCATTCTCCCAACCTCTCCCCAGGGCTCCCAAAGGTCATTCTGGGTTTTTTTTTTTTTCCCCTTTCACATCATTCCATGCTTAAAAGCATCATCTAATGAGCAAACACACATGGAGTAAATGCTCTGAGAGACATCCTGCGGTGACAGTCAGCTGATTTAAAGCAAAATGACAGATCTGTAACCAAGGACACAATCTGGAGGAGAATGCTGTTAGCACATGCATGCACCCCACACTATGCTCTGTGCAACATGGTGAGAAACGGAAATTAGTTGAAATGGCTGGATCATGCAATTATTGGGAAAAGAAGCTGCGGGGGGAGAATAAAAAAGTGTGAATACCTGTGTAGGTCATAGCTTCCTCCATCTTTATTTCCTGATATAGGAAAATACAAGAGTAATTTATGTTAGCTTTAGAACTCATAAAACCATTCACTACGTGGTTTTCCATGCATAACATCTAAATCCTAGAAAGAAATAGATTGTGTTAAATACAGACAGTGCCGGAGTCCCACAGAGCTTTTCTAGTAGACAGGTTCAAAATGAGGATTGAAAGCTATAAATAAAAAGGTCTGAGATAAAATGCAGAAGAGTTCATTTGAAACACGAGTGCAATGGGAAAGGAGGAGAGCCCATTTAAGAGCAGGAAGAGAAGTCCTTCCAGTCAGTCTCAGTACAGTGTTGGTTATTTTGAGACAAGACACTTGGGAAAAAAAAAGGGCCAATGATCATCTCCCTGAGGAATCGTCTAGAAGGTGGAGAGGACTACTTTGGGCCGAACAGCGATCACGAGCTCCCCCTGGTGTGTCATCCCAAGAGACTGTCAGACTTCTCTGGGCAGTTATGTCATCACCTGTAAGAGAGCGAGGTCTTTTGGGGGAGAAATGTCTGGGTGTAATATTTCTAGTGTTTCTAGTAACTGGTTTAATTTCTAGGCCTTATTGGGCTTCCTCCCCCCTCCCCTTTTTGGTGTGTGGAGGGCTAAGATTTGAGGAAAAGCTCAAACAGAGAAGCAAGATAATCTGAAAAGATTTGAGCTGAGTGGGGTTGTCAGACTGGACTTTTCTGCGGGCCATTCATCTGAGTAAGGTGTTAACTGAGAAGTGCTGGCTGATAGCTGTGAGGTGACCCCTCTCACAGGGTTTATAATTTCTTATGGGACCTTTGCTGCTCGAAAGCCTCAGGACCCTACAATGGTGGAGATGACAGGTGGCGGATGTTGATCTTTTGGGAATGGGCCCCCCTTCCAGTCACATGACCCAGTGCTGGTGATGCTGGCTCTGCTGGGGACCCTGAGACACCGGCTTTAAGGATGCTGAGAAAGCCCAGCTGCACACAAGGGGTTCCTGCAGAGCGCTCCCCACTGCTGGGGAGTCCCGCTCTTTGCCCTTTTGGGGTTGGCAAGCTCTGCTGATGCCCTTGCCCTTGCCAGAGCTAGCTCTTTCTCCTTCCTTCTGTGGACTGCTGGAATTTACAGTTCTACCGGAATTAGGAGAAAATCAGTATTCTCATCAACTAGGAAAGGGCAGGGACAGACTGAAAAGAACTGCGGCCCTATGAACCAAAGGAGAGATAAGTTAGTTTAACGCGGCAGCCCGGGGAGGGAACATTTGGCTGACTCCATATGGGCCCTCTAATGCTTGTTAGAGCCCAAGACAGTGCATTACTCAAGTATCTCTAGTTTCAGAGGGGAAATCCTGGTAAAAGAAATCTAATTGCCTGTGTCCGGGGCAGGGATCCCCCCGGGGCAGCTCCCAATTGTGATAAGCAGAAACAGGGCATTGGGTGTTTCCATCCAAAATCACCTAAAAATGTGAGGATTATCCCAGTTTACCTAGAGTCTATATTATGCCTGTTGGCAGCGATGACAAATAAATCCCCCATGCTTTCGTCCCACCTGCCAGTGGATGCTTCATTCAGGAAGCTTTACTAGTAGAACAAACGTGGGGGAGAAACTGAAATAAAATGCTCACCAAATCTTTGGGCGCGTTAGCTTTTTCATTAATGCTCCCAGAGGTAAACTTTGAGAACACATTATGTTCAGAACAGCCTGGAAAGTCTCCCCCGTAAGTATCCTAAACTCTGTGCATCTATGCCTAGAGACGTTTCACAGGCAGAAAACTCGACATAAAGAATTTACCAGGAAATACAGGAACCCCCCCCCGCCCCCGCCCGGCCCTTACCAACTTCCAGGCCCTTCGGTCTTGGGTTGCACTGTTTGTATCCTTGACAGCTCCTGAGCTCCATGAGTTGTACGTGTAGCTGATTCAAAATGCCCCGTTCCACCGTGTGCACTGTGTTTGTGAGCTGCGAACCAAGAGGCCAGGACAGGAAAGGTAAGCTCAGGTTCTGGCTAGTTTATTGTCAACAAACTTCATTACACGAAAATGTATCGACTTACCTGATAAGGATCTGTATTCATATCAAAATACTCCAAAAAGCCAGTGGCGAACTCACAGAAAAGAAAATTATGCGTCTCGTTAACTGTACGCAAACACCAGTAGGTGTTGTTGTTAGAACTCGTGCAGGCACAGAAAGATCCCACTGTTGGTAAAAACAGAACAATGAAATGAAAAGAATGAAAAAGCAAGAAATGGAGGCAGGCTCGCCATTCTACCATTTCCTTATCTTTATACTGAAAGGGGCACATTTTCTGTCTTGTAACTACTATGTGGTTGGATGTTAAAAAAAAATTACGTTTTCCCCCATCTAAACAATTTGCTGTGGGAAGAGGTGGAAAATGGGAAAAACAGTGGCAATCTATGATCGTGAATACAGACTGAAGGCCAAGATGAAGTTTTAGGCACATTAGTTTGTCCCCCACTGTCAGGCAGTGGTCTCTGAAATAGGGCGAGTGAGTGGAGAATAGGAAGGAAATGATCAGAGCTTGTATTTCTGGTTATTCTTACCTTTTCTTAAAAAAGGAAAAAAATAGCTGCATAGTACAGAGATGGACCTGGTGCCCTTGCTTGTTCTCTGTGTCATGGCCACACCTCAAAAATGGTGCACAGAAAGAGGGGATTATTTGTGATCTTTGTAGCAACTTTTTTTTTTTTTTTAAGATTTATTTATTTGCGAGACGGTGCACATGCATGCGTGTGCGTGTCACAGGGAGGGGCAGAGGGAGAGGGAGAGAGAATCTCCAGCAGACTCCACACTGAGCGCAGACCCCGACTCAGGGCTCAATCTCATGACCCTGAGATCACAACCTGAGCCGAAACCAAGAATTGGACGCTTAACTGACTGTGCCCACCCAGATGCCCCAACAATGTTTTAACATGAAATGGGCTATGACCATGTACATGTTTTGTACCATGCAGAGGTTCACTGGTTAACTGGTGGAAAGTATATAAAACAGACGTCAAATTAAAACAAAACAAAACAAACTACCTGATCTTCTTTTATAGAAAGGCAGTTTCCAAATTTGTTGACCTTTCTTGCAATGATAATTGACTTTTAAAAATATGTTGCCTAGCAAATATTTTTTTTTTTAAAGATTTTTATTTATTTATTTGACAGAGATAGAGAGCACAAGTAGGCAGAGAGGCAGGCAGAGGGAGAGGGAGAAGCAGACTCTCCACTGAGCAGAGAGCCTGACGCGGGGCTCGATCCCAGGACCCTGGGATCATGACCTGAGCCGAAGGCAGATGCTTAACCGACTGAGCCACCCAGGTGCCCCGCCTAGCAAATATTTTTAAAACAATTGGGATAGGCACACTTAATGAGCATTCAATGTTCATTATGTACTTTGCAGGTATTAACTCATTTCATCCTTAAAAGAACCTTAGAGACAGAAATTATGTTATTCCATTTTACAGATGGGAAAAATGAGGCACAGAGAAGTTAAGTAATTTATCCAAGGTCACACAGCTGATGAGTGGCAGCCTTAGGGGTCTGGCTAGAGGATACAATCTCTCTCTTTTTTTTAAAGATTTTATTTATTTATTTGAAAGAGAGAATTAGCGAGAGAGAGAGAACACAAGCAGGGAAGGGGAAAGGGAGAGGAGAAGCAGACTTCCTGATGAGCAGGGATCCTGATGACAGACTCAATCCCAGGACCCTGAGCTGAAGGCAGACGCTTAACCAACTGAGCCACCAAGGTGCCCCTAGAGGGTATACTCTTAACCACTACATGCTACTTAACCCCCATCCAATACTTTTTTTTTTTTAAGATTTTATTTATTTATTTGAGAGAGAGAGAGTGAGAAAAAGAGAGAGAGAAAGAAGGAGAAGCAGACTTTCTGCTGAGCAGGGAGCCCACCTCGGGGCTTGATCCCAGGACCCTGGGATCACAACCTGAGCTGCAGACGCTTAACTGACTGAGCCACCAAGGTGCCCCCCATCTAGTATTAAATACACTATCCCCTTAAGCTGAAAAAGATGTTTTAAACAATGAATGAGAAATAATTTTTTCAAATTTTGTTTTAATAAAGTTTTTAGAGCATAAAACGGTTCACAACAAAACTGAGAAGACACAGAGAATTTCTAGAGACTACCCCATCTCCACAGATGCCCAACCTTCCCCACTATCAACATCCCTCACAACAGTAATGCATCTGCAACAGTTGATGAACCTACATTGACACATCATCACCCAAAGTCTATAGCCTACATTAGGGTTTGCTCTTGGTGTTGTATGTTCTATGGGCTTTGCCAAATGTATAATGCCATGTATCCACCAGTATAGTGTCATACAAAGTAGTTTCACTGCCCTAAAGATCCGCTTTGCTCCATCTAGTCATCCTTGCCCCACAGAAACGATATTTCAGATTGCTGTGTTTCCTGTGCCCCAGCCCAGAACTTGGTGGGGAATGGACCCCTGCAACCTGAATGATCCTCAGAGATCCTCACACCCCAGTTTATGGAACAAGATTAAAAGTTAAATGCTATGAGTTTAAGAGTTTACTTGGCCTAGATGTGGCTGGAAATGAAAATGCAAACTTGACACTGAAATCAAAAAGCATCAGAAAGGAAAGATAAAACAAAAGTCCTCAGAGATAGGTCCCAAAACCCCAAGAATGGCCTTGGGTTCCTGGAGTCTCCAAATCCCATTTTGAGAAACACTGACCCAGGTGGTATCCTGGGATCTTTTCAATGAGAAGATTTGTAGTTTTAGCTACTCGGGATGGTAAGCCTTCAATCAGATGATGTGTCACAAAAATTTAGGGCACTATTCCTAGATAACCTCAGTTAATACTGTGCATAGGCCACCAAAGCACATGTAAGTGTGAATTTTAAAAACGTACAATCGTTGGGGTGCCTGGGTGACTCAGTTGGCTAAGTGTCCAGCTCTTGATTTTGGCTCAGGTCATGATTTCAAGGTCCTGGGATCGAGCCCTGCATTGGGCTCTGCGCTGGGTGTGGAGCCTGCTTAAGATTCTCTCTCTCCCTCTCCCTCTGCCCTCCCCCCCAACCCCTCCTGGTGCGCTCTCTCTCCAAAAAAAAAGCACACAATTGTTATTATTCCATATCATCAGCAATTCCATGTAAAACTGTATATTTTGGGGTGCCTGGGTGGCTCAGTCGTTAAGCGTCTGCCTTCGGCTCAGGTCGTGATCCCAGAGTCCTGGGATCGAGCCCCACATCGGGCTCCCTGCTCCAAGGGGAGTCTGCTTCTCCCTCTCCCACTCCCCCTGCTTGTGTTCACTCTCTCGCTGTCTTTCTCTCTGTCAAATAAATAAAATCTTTTTTAAAAAAATAAATAAAACCACATATTTTGTAGAGTCCCTATTCTTTTTTTTTTTTTTTTAGATTTTATTTATTTATTTATTAGAGAGCAAGCGAGAGAGAAACAGCATGAGAGAGGAGAGGGTCAGAGGGAAAAGCAGGCTCCCCGCTGAGCCGGGAGCCCGATGTGGGACTCGATCCCAGGACCCTGGGATCCTGACCTGAGCCGAAGGCAGTCGCTTAACCAACTGAGCCACCCAGGCGCCCGAGTCCCTATTCTTTTGTGAGCACGGTGCTAGGTACTAAAGGGGACTGAGAATTAGAATACAGCCCCCGCATCGAAGGGGTTTTCACTTCCTTTATTACACTTAGAGCATAACATGAAATAAAGCAGAAACAAAATCTATTTGAGGCAAGATTGTTCATCCATTTATTTAGTTATTTAGTAATAGATATAACTAAAGCCCGTCTTATTGGGTAGGAACTTTGCCAGGAGCTGGGCAGTATGAGAAATAACACCATCAGGAGAAACACCCAGGGCGAGCTTGGCATTTTCAAGTAAAATATGAAAACAAATTTCCAAAGAAAACCGTAATTTTTGACAAGATCATTCTAGCTGCCAGTACAGAAAATAGTATGATGCTCTCCTCTTGAATCATTCTAGATCCCTGGTTTCACGCTGCTGAAGCCCTAGTCTTAGTAACTGTAGTGTGAGTTGCTGTCTCTCCACAGGGCGGCAGTTACTGGCAACTCAGATGAGGTGGCAGATGTTAACTGAACTTACTGTGGTCATCACGTTGCAATACACAGAAGTCAGGTCATTATGCGGTACACCTTGAACTTATACAGTGCTGTTTGTCAACTATATCTCAGTAAAACTGGGAAAAATATATTTTTTAAAGATTTTATTTATTTATGTATTTATTTAGAGAGTACGAGTGGGGGGAGGGGCAGCGGCAGAGGGAGAGTCTGCGCTGAGTGAGGAGCTCCATGTGGGGCTCGATCTCACAACCCTGAGATCGTGACCTGAGCCAAAACCAAGAGTCAACGCTTAACCCACTAAGCCATCCAGGCACCCCAAAACTGGGAAAAATATTTCTAAAACAAAACACCCTGCAAACCAAAACTACACAATACTTACAGTTCCAGAACGGGGCCGTCTGCCAGTGGTTGTTGTCGTGGGTGAAGCAGGTGAGGCCAGGGAGGCTGCATTCCTCCCCCTTCCTCTGGCGTTTCTTCTCCTTCCTCTCTTTCTTCCTCCTACGGTTCTCCTTGAAAAGCTGCAGCTTGCTGTCTACTTCTTGAGCAGCTTCCCTGTTCCAACAGAAGGGATGTGTTCATGGTCAGAAAGCACTTTCCCAATGAAAAATATTATCGTTGTTACAAATCTCACACAAATAGGCAGGCACACAATAATAGATGACTTATTTTTCACAGAGGGCCTTGAACTATAATTGGCAAGAGTGAAGACAAACTCATGAAGTGACAAAACTTTTTTAGAATTTTACTGAGCCTGGAAAGATCAACATTTTCTTCCTTATTTACATGGAAACACTGGTGGAAATAAATGTCAACATGAATCCATGGATCCCACTAGCCACAGCATTTGGACAAATGGCTTAACTCCGTGGGGACTCGGTACTCATCAGCCATAAAGTCAATGGTTAGCAGGATTAGATGACTTGGAAAGAATTTCCTTTTGTTATTATTTTGTTTTTTCCATAAAGGGCTCAACTTTTGTCAAGGCTCAATACTAAATCCCTTTCACATGCCAATTTTACTGTTATTTTAAAAATATGTGTATTTCTCCCAACGTTCAGTATTCAGCACGATTGCAGACTACTCTATGGAACACACCAACCTAATCAAGACGGTCCCATTTCCCAATCACTGTTCACAAAAAGCAGTGCATAGAATAAAATCCAGTTACCATCCCATACATCGACAGAAAACACATGTAGAATTAGAGCAGAACTCCTCGTGGCTCCCCCTCAAAGGATTCCAAAAGCATCCCCATAGTCTCTTGGCAAGGTGTGGGCTTTGTTATCAACTTCTTGAGCTCTGTGCCCTCCTGGCTAAATCTGCTTGCTTGGAAGCAGCACCACTTGGAAGACAGGGGTCCCTACTATGTTTCAGAAGTGCCCAGGGGACAGTCCTCCACTCCCAGCAAATGTGGAAAACAGAGACTCACTTACTTGAATGGGTGGAGATGACTCTTCACCTTCTCTTGCTTTTTTACACCTTTTTCTTTATTATAATAGCTACGGGCAAGAAGATTGAAAAGTGAGTCTTCATAGTCTCACATTCGATCAGACAGTTCATTTTATTTTATTTTTAAAGATTTTATTTATTTATTTAAGAGAGAGTGAGAGAGAGAGAGCAAAATGGAGAGAGGGGCAGAGGGAGAGGCAGACTCCCTGCTGATCAGCGAGCCCGATGCTGAGCCTGATTCCAGGACCCTGGGATCATGACCTGAGCTGAAGGCAGATGCTTAACTAACTGAGCCACCCAGGCGCCCTGACAATTCACTTTATAAACAGAAAGAAGAATAGAAGGCAAGTGATTACTTTAACTATCTTAGCTTAATGGGGATTTTTAACCTTCACCTTAGGTTTAGGACATATTTCATTTGACCAAGAGTTTAGATCATTACAGTATATGATAACAAATTCAGTTTACTAAGCTTTCTGTTGGTATAAGAGAGAAACAAACCCAGTGCTTATCCCCGGAGCTTGTGGAAACACGAGTTTGGAAGTAAGACCGCGAGGTGGCCGCATGCTCACCTCTGTTTGCTACAGGCACATTCCTCCGGCTTTCTCCTTTTTAGGTGTCCTCTCACTTCTCTTAAATTCTTAATTTTGTCTTGCAGGGCTTCAATCTGGAAGACAAGTATTTGAACAAAGACAGCTGCAGATCAGGATTTCCTACGCCGGGTGCCCCTCTTTTCACCTTGTTTTCTGTCTTCCGTAATTCCAGCTATTCTGCTGAGAAGATAATTAACTTGGAAACAAACTGGGCACAGAGTATGTCTACCACGATGCTCCTGCTGATGTGCTACACATAAACATTAACAGATGCTCACTTACAACTGGATCATTTCCTCAGGGAGATTTCAACAGGTCATCGAGCCAATCCCCGCTATTTTTTCACACCCTATTTTGTTTTCAGGCAGGTCGATCACGACATCCCCAGGGAAAGATAAATATCTTGCTACGCTATTTTTCATGTAATTGTCATTGTAAAAAAAAATGAAGTGGACACACAGCGAGCCCCACCAGTCGCCAGGGGGCTGGTGAGCCGAGCTTGCATTTGGAATACACCTTCCAGTCACACAGCCGTTGCTAACCTCTTTATCGATGTATGCCTTGTGGTCCTTCCAGGCTCTGGCCGATTGATACAGTTCTCTCTCACAGTGGATTGTATCATTCGGAAGAATAAAGCACCTGCAAAAACAAACAAACCAAAAATGTTAGAAATAGGTTTATATGCTAATATTTGTTTAAACCCATTAGAAATAGCAAAGGGAACATAATTGCCTTCTAAACTCTTAATTTGGAGGCAAGCAGTAGTTTGAAGCTGAGCCATAGACAGGGAAGGATACGTGGGAATGTCTCTTGGCCACCCGGCTGGGGTAAGGATGGTGTCAGAGAGAGACCCTTACTAAGATTCCATTTCATAGCAACATTTAATATTCACGTCCCCAGGAACAGCTACCACCAGAAAACTCTAGTGTTGAGAGTCTCATCAACTACTGTAGGGGAAATGGAAGTTTCCACAGTTATAATGGAAGTAAGTTGTCTGATTAGAGCAATGCAGTTAGAAGGGGGTTATTTATCCCATTTGTTTTGTTACAAAGAGCCTGCCTCAAGTACCCCATTCAGTTTGAAGCAAAGAAACAGCCCTAGGCATAGAGAAAAGTTGGGATAAAGGGTCGATCGATACTGAAAGAGACACAAATCCTGATCTAAGTCTCCTAGTGTGTAACTCTAACAACTATAGTTGACCTTGGAACCGCATGGGGTCACATATAGGCAGATTTTTTTTTTTTGGATAAACACAGTCCAGTACTGTATACATGTTTTCTCTTCTCTTATGGTTTTCTTAATAACACTGTTTCTCTAACTTACTTTATTGTAAGAATAAGTATATGATATGTATATAAAATATGTGTTAATTGACGGTTTATGTTATCGCTAAGGCTTCTGGTCAGCTGTAGGCCGCTAGTAGTTAAGTTTCTGGGGAGTCCAACATTATACGTGGGTTTTCAACTGTGGGGGTGGGGGGAGGGTCTGTGTCCCCAACCCCTGCCTTGTTCAAGATCAACTGTACAGGCACGGAAAGACCAGTCCCAAAGATAAAAATCCTGCCAGAGGTCATGATACCAGGCCTCCCCAAAGTGATGGAATGAGAGAGAGGAAAAAACCTTGTTAATAAATTCAGAAAGAAAATTTTTCTCTATCAAGAGAGTAACTGGATTTTGGAAGGAAATGGAGAACCAAGGTGGTTCATTACAGCTGTGGGATAATCTCCTCCTTCCCTGTCTCCGTGACTCCCGAGGCCCTCCGTGCTCTCTGGGATCTGCTCAGGTTACTTAGGTGTTTCTGCACCTTATGTCCATTTCCAACACATCCCACCTCTCTGGAAGCTTCTCCAGGACCTGCAGTCTTTCCTTGGGCTACGAGTGTGTTCCCTAGACTCCCAAAAAAGTAACTGTTCAAGGGTGGACCTCCATGCCTGCTAAGTTAAGATGTGACAGAACCGGGGCCCCTGGGTGGCTCAGCCATTAAGCGTCTGCCTTCGGCTCAGGTCATGATCCCGGGGTCCTGGGATCGAGGCTGCATTGGGCTCCCTGCTCCGCGGGAGGCCTGCTTCTCCCTCTCCCACTCCCTCTGCTTGTGTTCCCTCTCTCGCTGTGTCTCTCTCTGTCAAATAAATAAATAAAATCTTTAAAAGAAAACACAAACATGTGACAGAACCACTCTAGCTAAATTCCCAGCTGATCAGCCTTCATGTGAAACTCAACCCAAAGCATGTGTCCAAATGTACGGCTGTTTGGACTCCCCCAGCTTCTTTAAATCCCAGTTGTTCTGTAGGCCAGCCCTCCGGACCCTGTACGGCCGAGCGATATCACTTTTGATAAAGAAGCAAAACAGGGATAATGGGGAAGGGGACATGACTGGGAATTCAGCCCCCGTGAACACCTAAAGCCTTCCTACTTGTGAGTCACTCGGACGGAGGTGGGCAGGCCCAGGGCATTGTCTCTGTCTGCCAGCATCACGTCCCCGTCGCCGGCAGCCTGGGCACCTCCGGGCCTCCTGTGGCCCTCATCATGGCGCTTGGCAATGTTTCTCGGTCGCAACACTTGCAATTCCTCATCTTCCAGGTTTATGTCATATATTTGGCCTTCAAATTCGACTGACAAGGAACGTGTTTGCCGGGTATGGACAAATCTGGGCTTGTACTCTGGAAATAAGGGAAGACACGTTAACATGGACGTCCAGGTGTAGTTTAGGAGGGAGGAAAGGCACCACCTGGCTCAGTGAGCATTCTGGGAAGGGCAAGCAGTTTAAACTGCATTGTGAAGGGGCATCGGGGAGCGGCGGGCAGCCCACTGGGATTCACGTTGGGAGGGCTGGGCTCCTCTTTGAGCTTGGGTGCTGCATGGCAACGTGGTGGACAGCATGCTCCCCTGGGCCTCAGCCCTTTGTCCCTCCAGTGGGGGGTACGTCTGGGGGACGTCTAAGTTCCTTTCCACTCACAGCAGGCTGTGAACTGCATTTTCAACATGAACTGCTAAGGCAGTTTGTTTGGATAAAACTATATTCCCAGTTATGGTATTAATCATAATAGTGACTATCATTGATTGGGCTTTTGCTATGTATTATTCACCTCATACTTATCTCTAATCCACAATCTTGGAAGACCTGTATTATTATAATAAATCCTTATATTAAAAAAACTGATTAGATGGTCCAAACAGGCTCATAAATTTGGTGTGATGATTCTTAAGGATGGGAAAACTGAAGCTCTGAATGCTACCTACATTTTGCAAGGTAATGGAGCCAACAGCCGTGGGAACTAGGACTCTAATCTACCAGATTCTAAAGGCTGCTGTCTTTCCACAACACTGGGCTGCTTTTTTAAAAGGGTAAATGCTCTCGATACCTTCTATTTGTACAAAGAATAGAGAACAATTAAATTTTGCAAATGCTTTTTATCAGCCAGCTGACTTTTAATATCTGGCAGATGGAGGGCAATGCCAGGGGGAGGCCAGCATGTTTTCTGGTCACCGTAGACCGTGCTCAAGGCTCAGAGTGTGTTAGACAAGAGTTTTAATGTGCCAACCTTGGCCCCTCCTTATCAGAAGCATTTTGGCTCCGACGGGGCATACTCACAGGGCCTTTTTTCTCCAGCCTGCTGCTAAAATAGGAAGAAGGGGAGCACCCAGGCCATGGAATCAGAATCGCGCTCGCCACGGGATCCCGCTCTGATAGCAGTTTCCAGAAGAGGAAACGCCTCTGTAACAGTCAGCAGGCCCCTGAGTGTGCTCACGAGCAACTTCTGCCCTCAAATACGCGAGGTTCCACGTGGTTTGAAAAAGCGGCCCCAGACATCTCCAGGTTGTGCTCAATGTCGAACAAAATCAGTGTTTATGGTCACTGCTGTGAAGTGACACCTAACCTCTGGGGAGAGAAGAGGCTGCCCCTTCCTCCAAGCCCAACACTGGTAATCAGCTTCCGTTAAGGGAGAGCGTCAGGAATCTTTGTCCCTTTTTGGCTTTCCATTTGATATCTTTGTGTGAATTATTAAACCTGGCATTTTCTCTCTGGGAGGAAAAAAAAAATCTCCCAAATCAATCATTCTCAGCTTTTGGGTTATGGATTCCCTTAAGAGTGTGTTGAAAGTTAGGGACATCCAGAAAAATGTGCACATGCACACAGAATAGACTTATCATTTTGGATAAAATGTTAGAAGGCTCACCATCCCCTAAAATCCATCTGCAGAGTCCAGGATAAAAAAGCCAGTGCTGAGAGCTTCTATTTTTCTGGTGATTGATTTGATTTCCTAATTTACAACGTGGGGGGCACCTGGCTGGTTCAGTAGGTAGAGCATGTGACTCTTGATCTTGGGGTCGTGAGTTCAAACCCCACGTTGTGTGTACAGCCTACTTAAAAAAAAAAGTGATACAGAAAATGTATCTTACTCATTTCCAAACCAGTGTAGAAAAGAATTGCCACAGAAATGAGTCACTTTTCCTCTTCTGCCACTAGATGGCACTAGACTCTCATTCTTTTATGGAAGGTGCCAGACCGGGTTTTCCCATCTGTATAATCCTAGGAATTTCATAGTTGCCTGATAGAATTCTTATAAAGAAAATGCTAGGCAGTGCTTTTCATATTGAATTTGACTAGTTTGACCTTGCCAGTCAACCATAACTAAAAAAAAAATACCGTCTTACAACAGATGTACCTTTAAAAAAAGTGTTTATGCTTTTCTTATTAAATGCATAAGCAATGAAACCTTGAATTTTTATTTTCCTCCCTTTTTTTTTTTAAAGCAGCTCAAGGCAGACAAATCAGGACATTAGCATTCATGTAAAATAAAACTGACATAAACTATACCCTCTGCCCCTAACCACACCTGTTACCCCTTTATAGTTCTTTCGTGTGTGTGTGTATAGTTTGTGCCTGGTGCTTTTACTGAATATATTTTCATTCTATGTTTAAGTTAAAAATGTCCACAAACCCCAAATTTCAACTTAACTTTGCTCTTTTAAACAGAACAATTCTTTGCTTTTTGTGCTAAAACTATGCATCGATAAGACCTCAAATGTATAAGGAGCAAGCCTTTTGTCTCCCTGCTGTCCATTCGCAAAGCACTCTGCCTTCCACTGCGAGGGTCCCTGCTTGCAGCTTACTCGGGGTCCCCTGGTTTCTCAGGAACTGCCTTTGACTCTTCCTCTGGCTTCTGCCCGCACGATAACCGGACTCTCCGCAACTGCATTCTTTGTGCTTGTCGGGGAAGCCTCGAGAGTAGAGGTTCCGCGTGCTCTGCCGGACCGTGAGCAGGTCCCCGGATCCTTTACACTTGTGAATTCGAAGCTTGCCAGAGGTGTCCTCGATGCACCGCCACTTCTGCGAAAGCCAACGAGAAAGCCGGTTACCCATCCCGCTCCGGGTGTTTTTTATTAAGGACTGCTGTCTTAGGTTTTGGAAGCACGGGGAACCCCTTAAGGAGAGCCGAGGAAGAAAGGCAGGCTTTTAACTGAGCCTGCCATAAGTCGCCCCCCGGTTCCCTTAGCTCCTTCTTTCATTGTAGGCAACTGCAGATGACAACGAAATCACTGGAAATCAGAACCACCTCCATGACACTAGAGCCCCAAATTGATATATAAATCCCCAGTATCCAGACTAAACAGAGTCTTGAACGAAACACGTTAAAAGCCAAGCCACAGAGCACAGCTGTCGGGGCTGTTTTTGCCAGATCCCTCTCTCTCTGGAAAAACACACTCGGCTGCTTTGGTCTCAGCCCCCGAGCTCTGGCCTCGAACCGGGGAAGAGTGGCACATGAAGACAGAGATGAGTTTAATCCGAGTCTGCCATGGAGCGGGCCAGCCTTCACACGCCCCAGGCGTTAGCCAACTCGTCAGGTTTTCTCTGTGCCTCTTCTCAGCCTTCTACAGACCCTGCACGCCCAGCAGAGCGAGCTGCTCGGGAGGAGACATCGTTCACCTCCCCAAGAGACCAAGCATGGGGGGAGCTGGCCCTGGGTTTACTCCTCTGAGCCTTCTACCAAGCCCACTGCAGACACTGTGGGCTCAATTCTAGATCAATAGGACCCAGCATCGGCTTCAGTGTCCCCCCCAACCCCTGCCCATGCTTCTTGAGTATCAATCTGGCTGAAATAAGAGCACTTCATGAATTTAGGGGCATTTCATGGGATCCTCCATGTCTTACTTAAAGACCTAATAACCTTCCTCTTCCTTTTTCTCTTCCCCTTGCTCGCCCCCTCAAATGGTAGTTTGGGAAGAACACTGACCTCGATTTGAAGTTGACCACGGTTGTTACAACATGCTACCGTGTAGTGTTAGCAAACTTTTGTTTCTGGTTTTCGTTCCATATGTGACTATCACCTGTATACAATTACTGATACTTTTCTTTAAATGGACACATTTCTAAACAGTGGCCAAAGCAACAGTACCTATAAAATTATGGATTTGTTGTGCCAGTTACATATTTTCAATAAATAAAAAATTATCGAATAAAAGATGGTTTTCCCTGCACCACACAAAATGATCTCAACACCCCCCCCCTATATTTTCATCGCAAAGTCACCTAATGCAAGGTAAAGTTTAGTCAGGGATCCCAGATATGTTGGTCAGCAGACAAATGACCCTCGTGTACAGAATGGGGTGCGACTATTCACAGTGGACCGAGGTGCAGAGTCTTGGCTTACTTTCTCTTGACTGGAGCCACATGCCCTCAGTAAATGTTGAATTATCAGAGCTGCCTGGCACCTCTATCCTAGAGTTCCCGAATCCCTGGTTTATAGCACTTGTGCTTTGATCTTGCTTTAGCCCCCACACACTCTGGGTGCTGTTGCATTTGGTTATTTCGAGCCATGTCAGGTTACGATCTTCTTTTTTGACTTGACCAGCATATCTTGAATGTCCATCATTTCCATTCCAAGCAGGCTCAAGCGACAAGGCAACTAATTCTATTTGCAAAGCCATGAAAAAGCAACACAGACAAGAACAGTCGAAGACTCACTAAGTTAGAGATGATTGAACCAAAAAAAAAAAAAAGTAAAGTCAACTTGATTAGGCACTGGGGAGTTATGGGAGCTCAGTGGTTCTCACACATGGCTGAGCACTGGGAGTTTCAAAAGCTCTCCTGGTGATTTTAATGTGCAGTTGGGGTTAAGAACAATTGCTTTCAATTTGCAACTGGTTACTGGACCCTTCTGCAGCTGGAACCCATGGCAGGGGCAAAAGAGATATATTTAGGTCTAAGTAGCTCAGGTGGATGAATCTTTGAGAGGGATGTATGCATGTTGGGGCGTGGGTATGCAAAGGATGCTGTGTCTAGAAATGTACTGATGTAATCAGGTCAGAAGATGACTCCAGCTGAACAGAGGAACACTACCAGCTTGTCTCTACAGGCAGGACTATGTGCTTTCTGTAAGAGTAACCAGTTTTCCTTCCTTTCTCCCCACAGTTAGCTGACGAGTGAGAGAACTTAGTCTTTGTAAAGGTTGAGCAGAAAGCCGTGTGTGGCCTGCTCCATGGTTCTGCCATTCAATGTGGAGACCAGTGGTTTTCAAGCCTGGGTTTGTAGCACTTCCAGACACGTCCCATTAGTTCAAGGAGGTGCCATGAGATTCTCAAAAACAGTTCTCAGAAACTGATCTACAACTCCATTGGGGAATAACTATATGCCCTACGGAATTTCTGCTGACAAGAAGTGTCAGCAAAATAATTCATAAGCTTTTATAGCTCTGAAAAGTTTGGGAATCCGTGGTGCTTGAGTGTCATTCCAGATTTGAATTTGGCTACATCCAGATGCTTTAAGACTTGTCCATCTATCTAGGTAATCTCTCACTCCTGCGTTCAAAAACTAAGAGTTCACTACTTAATGCCTATGGTAGCAAAAGAAATGGCCAGTGGACCCACAGTTCACAGCCTAGTAGCAGCTTAAGAAGTGCCCTATTTTCTATAAGACAGAAAAATATGGTTAACTTTATTCTTGAAAAATAATAGCCTTCTGTCTTTTGTGGCTCGAATTTATTTCAATTTTAGTACAAACATTAATTTTTAAAACACATAACTACAGTGAAAACCTTTCTTGGTTTTTTAAGCACGATGCATTAAAAAAAAAAAAACAACTCTACTTTTTTTTTTTTGCCTGGAAGACCTGAGGGGACAGGTAGATTCCTCTAGAACAGAATGTGTAGGCAGAATTTTTAGTGATTTGTCTATCTGGAATCCAACCTGCATTTTCCCATTAGCCAAATTCCTCACTAATGTCCTATGGGGCAGAGATGAAGGGAAGTGGTGTTCTTTCCTGAAGAGATGAATTAAACCAAATCTGAGATCTGGCACCATCCCGGGCACTGATGATGTATCTCACAAACTAAATATGCATACATACGTGAATGCATACGTATGTACACACCCGCATAGACCCACAAATTCTGCATGTATACATACCCCTATACACATTCTTAAATAAAACAAGAGCCACCGAGAAAAATGCCAATGATTTTCTATACCATGGACCCTCTGAACAAGCCGTAGACCCTATTAGATAGAGTAATTAGCGAGCAGCTTTGAAATCTTCTTAGTGGCAAGCATATTAGGAATTTTAATGAAATGTAATTACCACACATTTGCCACAATCATTTTGGGGTTCGATATCACGACAATTTTTATGGCTGAGCAATAAACCCTTGAAATCACTGCAACTACCACGGTGGCCTGACTTAGAGAGTTGACAGAGGGAGGCGAAGGAAGAGAGCTTTCAGGGAATTGTTCTGAAACTCCTGCCTCAAGCCACTTGAATGCTCAAAAGAAAGAGAGGAGATGACTTGGCATTGCAGAAGAGCTGTAGCAATCGGATGGGAGCCCGGACCCAGCTAGGCATCCGCTCATGGGACACGGGCTCAGCCTCCGAGACGCACTTTGTTAAGCACGAGCCCGCGCCGAGATACAGCTATCCTTCTGGCCCCCTCTTATCTACGCTCTTGAAGTTTATCAGCAAATCGGTTAACTGCCAGATCTGACCATCTCCATCTTCCCCGACCACTTGCCCCATCTGTAAATTCCTTTGCGACTTCATGGGACATCATCTCAATTTTTCCTCCTGCCTCTCTGACTCCTTCTGTACCCAGGATGAAATCCCAATTGACTAGGACCCCCCCAAAAAGAATGGTTTGGGGTAGAAGATGAGGCTTCCAGTTTGCCTTGGTGGAGGGGCTAGACTTTGGGAAGGCAGAGGCAACAGCTTACACGCAGAGAGAGAGAATGCTCTGTTTATGAGCAGGGAGGAGGGGATCCGGCCCAGAGCAGGCTATGTTCCGGAGCAGTGGGAAACAAGAGCATAAATTAAATCGGGTGTGGCCACATTAGGCAGTTTATAAGTAAAATGGCCTTATGTTTGTCTTTTTCTGACTTGTTTGGGACATCATTAAATATGGTTTGACATTTAAGCCTGCGGTTTGTATTTTGAAAAATGCACAGAAGCCAAACCATTGAGATGCATTATTTGGAAATGTCCTTCTGTGCAGGTTGAAGAGGGGAGGCTTTGAGGCTCGGCTGTCCATGCTGAGCTCCATGCAGACAAGTGTTTAGCCAGAGGGTGGCACTGGGGCTCGGTCCTTCTGGCCCGCCCTCTGGAATAAGGAGCCCTGCGGGGAAGTGTCTACGAGCCATGCTGAAATTTTAACCAGGGCTCAGTGAGTTTCTGGAAACAAGCTGTCAGTTCCTGGCAAACTTAGCAGATCTTACTGGTAAATGCCTTTTATTCCTGCCCTGCAGCTGGTCACAAAAGGTCGAGGGATCTATGGTCAGAGGGATAATTTTGGGATGAGAACATAAATCCTGGAGCTAAACCAGTACATTGAACAAGCTACATTCTAATTTCTCAAGTAGTATCCGCTTGCTTGATCTGGGGTTCTTTAAACAAATCTTTGATTTCATATTGATACAAATAGTAGAAAGGCAAACAAAATTGCAAAGTTGCTGGAATTTAACAACTCACAAAGGACGTGAAATTTGCTTTATCAAAGAAAAAACCAAGCTGTTTTTTCTCAAATGACAGAGAATATATAAAATGTACTCCAAAATTGAATGCCTAGGGAATTTCTCTTTTATGTAATTCCTAGTTAAGGAGTCAATATCTATACCTAGAAAACGAAAAATATAGTAACGCTTTCCTGGCATGAATGATTCTCAGTCCTGGCTGCTTAAAAGAATCACACAGGAGCTTGAAAAAAATCCCTGATGTCTGGGTCTCATCCCCAGAGGTTCTGTTTTCCTTTGTCTGGAGTGAAGCTTGAACATCAACACTTGTGAAGCTGCCTCTGTGATTCTAATGTGCAGTCTTGTTTGGGAACCACTTCCCTAGATGCTGTGAGTGGGTCCTAAGCTCCGTGGCTTCAGCCAGACAAATGCCATTTATAATTTCAAAGAGAAAATCTACTATGTAACATTTTTATAGAGGCAGCATGTTCTGGGAAAGAAAGGATTAAGCATGGAGTGAAGAGTTGCAGGTTCTGACCTTTGGGTCGTAGCTTAAGTTTTCTGGATCTATATTTCCTTTTTTTTTTTTTTTAAAGATTTTATTTATTTATTTGAGAGAGAGAGAGTGAGAGACAGAGAGCATGAGAGAGAGGAGGGTCAGAGGGAGAAGCAGACTCCCCGCCGAGCAGGGAGCCCGATGCGGGACTCGATCCCGGGACTCCAGGATCATGACTTGAGCCGAAGGCAGTCGCTTAACCAACTGAGCCACCCAGGCGCCCTGGATCTATATTTCCTTATTAGGAAAAGGATACCATTCAACTGGGAGTTTTTTTTTTTTTTTTAAAGATTTTATTTATTCATTTGAGACACAGAAATACAGAGAGAGAGAGAGCATGAGGAGGGAGAGAGGCAGAGGGAGAGGGAGAAGCAGGTTCCCCGCTGAGCCAGGACCCCGATGTGGGGCTCCACCCCAGGACCCTGGGATCATGACCTGAGCCGAAGGCAGTCGCTTAACCATCTGGGCCACCCAGGCGCCCCTCAACTGGAAGATTTCTTTTTTTTTTTTTAAAGATTTTATTTATTTATTTGACAGAGAGAGACACAGCGAGAGAGGGAACACAAGCAGGGGGAGCGGGAGAGGGAGAAGCAGGCTTCCTGTGGAGCGGGGAGCCCGATATGGGGCTCGATCCCAGGACCCTGGGACCATGACCTGAGCCGAAGGCAGACGCTTAACGACTGAGCCACCAGGCGCCCCAACTGGAAGATTTCTAAGACTCCTTCCAATTTCGACATTCTCTGACTCTAGACCTGTGGTTCTTAACTTTGTTAACAAATACAGATGCCTTGGTCTCACCTTTAGACCTATTCATCTGATTGATTTGGGGGGAGGCTATACGTTGATATTTTCTTTTTTTTTTCTTTAGAGAGGAGTGGGGCACAGGGAGAGGGAGAGGGGCACGGGGAGAGGGAGGGGGCACAGGGAGAGAGAGAGGGAGAACCTTAAGCAGGCTCCACGCCCAGTGCAAAGCCCAATGTGGGGCTCGATCTCACAACCCTGAGATCATGACCTGAGCCGAAACCAAAAGTTGGACGCTTAATGACTGAGCCACCCAGGAGCCCCAACATCGATATTTTCCAAAGCTGCCCAGGTGATTCTAGGGTGCAGCCAGAATGGAGCATCACTGATGTGTGTTCTTTGTTGAGCCAAAGTCTTTTCAGATAGATGTTGAGATTTGTGTGCATGCGTGTGTGTGTGTGTGTGTGTGTAGTGTGTCATATATAAATCTGTACGTAATGTGCTTGGGGGTGTAACGCCAGCTGAGAGAGTGGTGGGAATTCATACTCAGCCTCATATTAATTCAGGAACACAGAAGTAATGCAAACACATATGTCCATGCTGTCTTAATTAGTCCCTGCTGGTTGCTCTGTTCACAAAGTGAAGAAGTATTGCCAAATGTCTGGGATTCCAGCCCATTTTAATTCCCTGTTGGCTTCATAGGAGTGAAAAAGCAGGTAAGATGGCCCGGAACAGAAATACCACCCAACATTCACACATTGCCTTATAATTCATCTAGCACTTTACATATATGATATCACAGAACCCTTACAAGACTGAGATTAATTTTCTTAGCTTTAGGGATAGAAAACCTGAGACTCTTAAGAATCCAGTCCCTAAACACACAACTAAAAAGTAGCAGATGCCAATATTCTAATCCAAACTTTGTGATGTCGTATTTCTCTTTCTTTCATTTACCTCCATCATGCATCCACACTGACCCTGCCAAACAATCCTTGGGTGACCAAGTATGGGGGTATGGTTGGATGGGGGAAATACATGACCCCTTTGGGGGTTAAAAGTGAAGAGAATGGGGCTGATAGTGTGGGTTTTTCCTCTATATCCCATACAGAGTCAAACCAAAGAGAAGACTGTATTGTCTTTGAATGCAGGCAGTTAACCTTGGTCAGAGGAAGAGACGCAGGGCACAGGCCAGGTGTGAATCAGTGTCAAGGGAAGAGATTAGATTAGAGTTAATTCTAGCCTTAACTGATGTCTTGATCCAGAAAAAACAATCTCATTATTCTGGACTTTTTTTTCCCTTTTTTAAAGTCACTGATATTGTAACTAAAAAGATAATCTTCAAAGTAGCCAGATAGAAAAAGCAAAAGGCCAAAACATAAAGATTCTGTAGAACACAACAGAGCTATCAGGTTTGACCCACAGATTCTATAACTGACTTGAAGAGCCTCAAAATTTTCTGGAAGTTCTTGGATTTTTAAGCTACGGTTTGAGCATCACCTATAGAAAGAAATCGCCATCTGGGGTACAGTGTAATTCTCTGTTCTAATAATCCAGGCACTTCTAAAAGAAATTGTTGCTAACATTTTCATATATCCATGTGATATAATCTAAATTCAGACAGATTCACATCGAAATAAAGCAGCAGAGGAGAATCCCAGGGAACCAGGTATTAAAGCATTTTGTGGGGGCAAAACAAGTTTAGAAAAACATGAAAAAGCAAAGTGAAGTTCTTAACATAGTTATAGCATTTAGCACAAGAGTGAAGAGCTTCTGCCAAAGTGCCATAATCTCGTTAATACTACATTTGCCCTTTAGGACATGTATTAAAATTTCAGGGCAAGCCATATGGAGAGGTTTGCAAAATTGTATACTGAAAGGTAGGCAGTGTACCTTATTCTCAAATGGCTGTAATGCTTGCCACTTAGAAGGCTAAAATAGTAACAAAATCACCAATTTGCAGGAGATATATTTAACGCCAAACATTTCCAACTCTCAAATAAAAGTAAATTAGTCTATTGAGGCTGGCTCATAAAAATCATTTTAGAACTACAAAACAATTCTGAGGTTTTAGTCGTAATAATACTTAGAGCTTCCTTAAGAAGGATTTGAAGACATCATATTAAAATATAATGAATATGTCTACGCTTCTCTGCTAAACACTTGAAAATTAAGACTTCCTAGTATGCCATGAAGGCCTGGTTTTATCCCTTCCTTCAATAACCGCCCTCCCCACCTTTTTCTATTTCAAAGGAATCCCTGAGCACAAAAAGTCATGAGGAAATGCAGAAAGTATGAGGATCAAGTTGTTTATTGTGAATGTTTGTTCAATAAGCTAGATACCGTATCACGAGTATAAATGTGTGACGCCCTACATTTATGAGGCCATTTTAATAATAACTGCACTATCCATTTCATGTGCCTGATACCCTGCACTGCTATTGGCTAATTGTGCGGATATCTTGAGGTCGGATAAGTTAAAGAGAAAAAAAGACTCACAAAGACGTGAACTTCTCTTTGCCTCGTTAACGTAACTTACCTTGGAAGGCAGCAAGTGGCCCGAGTTTTTGAATCCTATGATCCTATAACTCATTTGGATCCCGGCTCTACACTCACCAGCTGCCCATTTATAAATGGGACAACAATGCCTACCTCACTGGATGGATGTGAGGCTTAAACTGAGCTAATACATATCAAACTCCATGTACAGTGCTTTATATAAGACAAATGTGTAATAACTATTATTTTTCACTTTCCTTCAACTTTGTTTCAATGACTTAGGCAGTTCCTCTCTCATGATGATACAATACTTCTTTTAGCTAGCATAGATGCCAATCAAGAGTGTTTAAAATAGTTAAGTGTTCATATGTTCTCACTTTCCTTAGAAACAGGCCTGTGTTAATTCATCACATGGTATTTCTTTAGTTCTTATTAATAATAGTTGGTGTTCTGGGTAGTCCTTAATTCTATAGTAATATTTCTTTTTTTTAAAAAAGATGTATTTATTTACTTGAGAGAGGAGTGGGTAAGGGCAGGAGAGGACAGAGGGAGAAACTCAAGCAGACTCCCCATCGAGTGCGGAGCCCAACATGGGGCTTGATTCCACAACCCCAAGATCATGACCTCCCCCCAAATCAACAGTCAGATACTCAACCCACTGAGACACCCAGGCACCCCATCTGTAGTAATATTTCTAAAAGTAATATTAATAAAAAGAATTCATTCTAATGAAATAGATGATGTCAGAAATTTTGTAAGCAGAAGTAGAAACAATAAAACACAATATGGCTTCCCTTTTCACTTCCCAATCTTGGTCATAGATTCTATCCCCTTCTATGGATTAGATAACATCGGACTTTAGTACAGGATGGGAAGACTCCATCATGTCTCTTGGGTGGTTCACTGCCCAGAGGCTCAGCATCTACCCCTGCTCTTGACTAAGTAGCCTCTTGACCCTTCTTGATAACCAGTTAACAGGAATCCGAGGGCTGATGGCTACTCCTCAGATGGAACCAAGTTTCTGATCTTTCTAACCTGACTACCCATTTCACATGTCCAATATGTTGAACTGGTGTTGGCTAGTTGGGTGGATATCTAGCACTCTCTGAGGACACCATCTTTTTTTCACTGAAGGGAGCCCAAGCAGTGATGAGGAGGCCCAGCTTAGACCAGTTAGCTAATTCTGTCAGAGGATAGCTGTCACAGTGAGGGCTCCATGACCACAATGAAAAGCTTATTTACACATAAATGTACATTATTTTATATGTTGAAATTGTTAAAATTAGAAATGTAGAAGCATGTGACCTGTGGTGAAGACAAGCCATGTCACTCACCTGCCCAGGCTGTTCACAGGCTGTCTGGTACCTGGCCTGCTGGCACAATTCTTTGACCCTCTCATATTTGGGCAAGTGATTTGACTGTTGGATATTCTTGCTGGATTCTTCTTTCTTACGTAAAAACTTCCTTTGACAGAAAAGAAGAAGTTTCTGATGTGAGAAATGATTTGATTTACCCACCCAGCATCTTTTGCCTTTTCTCTTTTTCTCCCCTGTGGCATGACTCCACATTCTTCATTCAAATGGCATGAAATAGATGGTAAGATCTTATCCACAGGAGCTCAACATTTGCTGAGTCCTTTGTGAAAATTATAACCCGGACACTATGAAGAATGATTATCTCCCTTAAAGCATTAGTTTCAAAACTTTGGGCATAAATGTTTAGCTTTACAGTCATACAAATGCTTTTCTCTCAATGTGTGTATGGAAAAAACCGAGACAATGAGGATTATGACTCAAAAGGGGAAACCCAGAAGGGATTCTGGAAATGACAGTCTCATATATTTGTGTTTAAAACTGGGAAAGGCACTTAAGGAAAGGAAGGAGAAAGGAGAGGGCCAGGAAGGACTTGGGAAGGAAGGCTGAGAAGGTCAATGGACTGGTCCGATTCTGACCCTGAGGTCGAAAAAGCAACGGTAAGGGCTTTGGCCCCGCCGTATGAGAACTTATATTGAACAATTCTGATGCAGCAGTCATTACTGTGTTGGTCAGTGGAGCATGAGTAGCAAACCCTTCAATCCTGTGACTAGGCTTATGAAATCTGCATGCTTAGTAAACCGGAATAAGGGGGAAAAATACCCAGCAGGAAGAGCTGCCCACTAGGCCTGGTTCCCAGAAGCGCCCCAGGAACCAGTAATTACCCTCTTTCCACAAGGAATGTATCACGCCAAATTCTGGCTTTCTTGTTTGTTCGAAACCTGAAAGCAAAATAATAATATTTACTGTTGGCATCTGGACATTTTTCCACATGGATCTGTGCTCACAGTTTATTTAAAGAAACACCTCTCACTTCCCACAGACCAAGACTGCATCTCCATCAATACACTGTTCACAAACAGCCGGGACAGTCTCGGATTGCTGTGATTCTCCTGGGCAGGGCGTACTTTGCCTCCACAGCTTTCGGCTGCTGGCTGGCTCTGGGTGCCGGGGTGCTTGGGGCTGGCTGAGGGAAAGCAAATTGACACACCTGTTACCTGGCTTTTCCAGGTCCAGAAGTTTGAGGACGGACTTGCCGTCCACATCGGGAGGCGTGTCGAGCCCAGCGATGTCCAGGATCGTCGGGGCCAGGTCGATGTTGAGAACGATCTGTGGGACTCTGCAAAGGGACAGGAGGTTAGGCCCCAGATCTAACACTAGTGAGGGTAGCACAGAGGACCACTTTCTCCACACCGAGACTCATCGGCCTTTGACCTTCTCCCCCTCTATCTTAGTCTTTCACGCATAAAACTGTCTAACCTAGATCAGACAATTCCCACAGTGTTTCCAATGAGCTGAAGAGACATAATAACCTTCTTCCAGGAAACCCTTCTACTAACATCACCTTCTCCCCTCTTCCAGGATGTAGTGCAATGGAACAGCAGAGGCAGCGCCTGGACGAGGTTCAGAACATCCAGGTTCTGGGCCCCAATGAATCCATTTCCAGAATCGGGGACTCTGAGAGAGGCACGTGTGATGTGCCAAGCTTCTTCTGTGTTAGATCAGAAGTCCGGGCTGGGGGCGCCTGGGTGGCTCCGTGGGTTAAGTGTCTGCCTTTGGCTCAGGTTGTGACCTCAGGGTTCTGGGATCGGGCCCACGTGGGGCTCCCCGCTCAGGGGGGAGTCTGCTTCTCCCTCTGCCCCTTTCCCTGTTTGTGCTGGCACGCCCCCCCATAGATAAATAAAATCTTAAAAAAAAAAAAAAAGAAGAAGACGTCTTGGCTCGATGCTCCTTAAGGGCCATTCCAGATTTGGAATTCCACTTGCATTCTTTTCTTCAACTCTTTCCATAACTGTTTCACGTACACGACCTTATTTTACACAGAATATTGTGATGTGGCCGGCAGGGCATGTAAAACTCATTTTATAACGGGAAAAGAGAGCTGCATTGGGAGGTAGTGACTTGTCTAAGGTGGCAGAAATAGAACGCCAGTCCTTTAGGCCTTTTTTCTTCTAAAAGAAAATCAGCTTTTTAAAATTTTATTTTCTTTAAAAAATTACTTTAGTAATAATTTTAAAAAAAAACAACTAAAGGCAGGCACTGTTTTTTTTTTTTTTTTTTTTTTTAAAGACAGTGTTTGTCTGATTCAAAGAAGTACAGATGATGTGTCCCTAATGATCACATTCTGTCTGTGTGCACAGGCCATGGGATGGGGATTCTGATGTTTTAGCTTTATAGTCATTGTAAATTAGTCATTGATAGTTAATTTTCCTTTCTCTTTAAATAGTATACTTTAGTTAATTTAGTGTGTGGTAGGGGAAAAAAACAAGGTTTTCATTTTCTAAATTACCAGCCTCCACCTACATACACCCTTTTCTGTTTTGGATGAAAAGAAACCAGACCCTGAGATTGGTAATCGAATTATCTCAGATATACATGAGCCACGGCAACCGAATGTTGCAAGCAGGGAAATACGTACATGGATCCTGGTTCTACACTTGGACCACGAATAAAGAAAGGCACACGGATATCAAAGTCATATGGCATGGATTTCCCCTTGACCAGTCCAAACTGCCCAATATGGTAACCGTGGTCGGCAGTGTAAATGATGTAAGTGTTCTCCAGCTCCCCCGTCTCCACGAGCATATTATACAGCTGAAATACAACGGAGACAAAATGGGCAAGATGACAATAGTGTTGCTGTGATTTCCCCTGAAATTCTTCCCCATTATTTTTTAAAGGCAAGAGTCACTTTAACAAGGCTAAGAAACATGGTCACTATCTACGTTTTCTAGTTGCTTACAATCCTGGAGGGGAAAAGTCTAATAATGGAGTAATATAACTCATTTGAATCTGGCACATTGTTCTTAAAGGTTTTGTGCACCTATTTAAAAACAAAAACAAAAACAAAACAAACTCCACAAAACAGCCTCTACCACCTAACTTACAGGTTTTATTTTGAAAAATCCATTGTTAAAGCAAATTTTATCACCACTTTTTATACAGTTATCAAGGGTTAAGAACAGGCTGCTTTGGAGCCTGATCCAACTGAATCCAGCCTTTAGGCAAGTTTTGTTTGGCTTCTGTGGCTTTTTTTTAAATTCAGGATATTTCAAATAAAATGCTTGTATTTCTGGTTTCCTTTGAAAACTCAGAAGATCTCATGATATTGGATCTATTTTCCTACATGGCAAAAATTAGCTGGAGCCAAGTAGTTGCTCCTTGTTATAGATGTGGGCGTTTAAAGTTCACCATAATCCCCACCATGCCCTGTCGCTTTATATGAGACCAGCTTTAGGTATTTACATTATTCGCCTGATTCTTGAAGGTATTTGTGAGGGTAGCTCTTGACTTATGGTGTTTTGATTTTTATCTCCTCTTTGCCGCTGGCTCCAGAGAACCAAGCCTGGAGAGGTAATAGAAGGGGTCGAGATAAGGGAAGGAAGATAAAGTCACTCAACACACACTCACGTACACATATTCACACACACGGACTCTCTCCCTCTCTTAAAAACAGCAACAACAAAACAAAGACAGAATTAGCAAGAATGGATCTACACTAAGGAAGCTGGACCAAAACCCGTCACTGAGGCAAGTTCGTGTGCTTACCCTTTCCACAGAATCGTCCACTGACATCAAAGTCTGAAGCCTTTTGCGATGTAGAACGTTTGTAAATTCCATGTGGATGGGCAGCATGGGTCCCGTGTACTGCATAATCCAGTGCTTATCCATATTTGGTGCATAGTTATAACTAGGGGTTCTGAAAATATCCAGAAAGGATTCTTACTAAATGTATTTTTAGTCAGTTAGAGAAATATCTCAAGTTCGAGGTAATTTAGACATTGCTATTTTTTTCTCCCATGTGTCTTCTATGTTTATAAGAAGAGCTAAAATCCTCACTACCCCAAATATCACACATCCCCTAAAGGCATATGGATTCAGATTTATAAAACCAAGACAGACAGCTAAAAAGGTAATTAGTGCAAGTTCATTCGGATTCATTGAAGAAAATGTGTAAAAAGACATCAAGGTGATCATGGTATTGTAACACCTACAGATAAAATTCAGTAATACAGAAGGGAATGTTTTCATGGTGATGTTAACTCATAAAATTTGGTAGTTAATAGGGCTATTAGGTATAGTCACAAATATGTGGAATAATGATGAATCATAATTTCAACATATTTTTTTCTCTAATCTCTAGTCTATGAGTTTTTCTCATTCCTAACCTTGTATATAGATACCATTAATTTAATAGGATATGCTGGAATTAAAACCAAGTCTACTTCTGCAATATACATGCTTATCAATAAAGCTATTCTTTTTATAGACAATTCAATACAGGTGCAGAGCACAATTTTTGTTCACTACAGGGAGGTGGGTCCTATTCCTCTCGAACATGTGGGTTCAAGCCTGTATTTAATTTATCACAGAAACTCAAGTGGTGTCTCATACGTTCCACTGGGGGCCCACAAAATATGTTGCCTTCTTTTTGAAATCTAACCCAAATCCTTTGACCATTAGATGCTGCCACTTCATACTCCTAAAGTACATGTCTTTGCTAGAGTAATTCTCACACTGAGAATTATCTATTTATATTTGACATCTCCTCCAGACTACAACGTACTTGACCCTTCTCCTTAGATGTTATTAAGCATGTAGAAGTTGTTTAATATTAAAAACTTAGTATTTACCATGTGTTGGGTATTGTGTTGTTTTGTATACATTAACTCATTTAATTATCTCTGCTGTTCTTGGAAATCGGTTTATCATTCCCATTTTAAAGACTGATTTATTTATTTTTATTTATTTATTTGACAGAGAGACACAGCGAGAGAGGGAACACAAGCAGGGGGAGTGGGAGAGGGAGAAGCAGGCTTCCTGCTGAGTGGAGAGCCTGATGCAGGGCTCAATCCCAGGACCCTGGGATCATGACCTGAGCCGAAGGCAGACGCTTAACGACTGAGCCACCCAGGCACCCCTCATTCCCATTTTAGAGCTGAGAAAACCGAGGCTTAGCAAAGTTAAGTAACTTCCTCAGATGAACAAAGTTACTAGGTGGTAGATCCAGGACTCAATTCCAAAGCCCATTTGTTCTAACAAAATGAAAGAAGAGGGAAGTGTGGGGTGCTTCCTATGTCTCAGACCACTTTTCATAGGAACCACAACTTCACAAGTAACTGGTCTCACAGAGTAAGCAACAATCTATGTTGGTTGAGAAATCGGATAGCCAGTGTCTGCTCTGGGGAGGGTCCTATCAGTGAAAAATGGTGGATAATGACAAGGATAGGTGACCCTGTGCCATCAACTAGAGAAACAGGGGTGCCTGGGTGGCTCAGTTGGTTAAGCATCCAACTCTTGATTTTGGCTCATGTCATGATCTCAGGGTCCTTTTGCTTGGGTTTCTCCCTACCCGCCCCCCCACCCCCACCCCAGCTTGCTCTCTCTCTAAAATAAAAATAAATTAAAAATAAATAAAATCTTAAAAAAACAAAAACAAAAACACCCTAGAGAAACAGTCACTGTGAGCCCGGTGAATTCAGGGGCATTGACCACGTACTCCTCTGGTTTGCACTAGAGCAAATCTCCCTCAGGGTAAGCCCGGAGTTTCTGAGCTACGTTGATTGTACACTGGGCTATTTCCATGCATGCTGAACTATATAAATGCTGCCTGTTGTTATATTTTTTCTTCTGCAAGTGCATTTGCAGAACCTCTCTTTTGATAGTTGAAAATGCTCTTTTGGTACCGTTGAGCTTCTTGGCACAAAAGAAGGTCACATCATACCGTAATGATCAGTATGGATGCTGGTCAACTAGCAGAAATACAACAGCATAAATACCAATATAATATTGAGCACAGAAGACCCTGTAGCTAAAACTGTATAAAGGAGCAGATTTGCAGAGTAGGAAAAGCAAGTGTGGTTCACTTTGCTCATCTGTAAACGGGGATAATAGTATCTTTCTTAAAAAGCTCTTTTGAGGAACAACAAATCTCTGTCTATCTATCATCTATCTCTCCATCTATCACCTATTTATTATCTATCTCTATATCACTTAAAAGTGCCTAGAACAGAGGCACATGAGTCTCCTACATAAGCCAATAAACAAATACATTCTACATAAATGTCTGGGTTGAAAAATCCTGTCGCATTAAAAACCAAACAAGCTCTTCAGGTATCACCTGCCATTCTTTTTAAGAGAAACTTTCAACATAAACTTTCTTCTGCTTACCCAGTAAATGACTCATGAACCACTTTGTCCCATGTTTTTGGCCTGAAAGTGTTCCTCATATCTAAGCGTGAACACGGGCGGAATCATCCTCTTCAATCTCAGGAGCTCGTGCAGTAGGAAAGAATGTAAGCCCTGTTTCTTATTCTTCACGCAGCATGTCGTGGTACAAACAGGATTAGATTGAAAGGCTGAGGAGGATGAGAGTGGGGGCTTCTAAACCCCATCGGAGAGGGATTTTCACCCGTGGGGGTGGCTAGAGGTCAGAAAAATATAGCAAGTGGGCCATGAAAGGTCCCCTAACTATTTACTGATACGTGCCCTGAAAAAGAATATGGCTATAAAAGATTACACAGGGTTTCTTTATAATACCTAAACATCTTCCTCTCACTGCCTTTGATGTTGGTTTGCCTTAATTTTAAAATAAATTGAGTTGACTTTTTTAAAGCCACAAAACCTCAACACAAATAAAAATTAACAATAGGGAACCGAAACGAAGGCTCACAGCGGGCAAATGATATCTTCTACCAGCTACCTTGATGAGCTTGGCATAGCTCCACCTCACTTTGAGGAACGGGGAAGGTCGCAGCAAATTACAAGCCTCAAAATTGGACTCTCGGATTTACAGAATGACATATGTGAAATCTGGCTTATAGTAAAAGGGAGAGTTCAGGTCTGTTGTCAAAGCTGTCCTTCTCCACCCCCAACCGCCCCCCCCCCCTCCCCTTAATTTCTCCAAGTGGGAGCTGACCCCCAGCTCTGGGGCTGAAATCCCAGGTGGAATCTCAGCAAGGGGCAAGGAGTGGGGGTATGCATTTGCCTTTTAAAGGAAGACAGACTGCCCCTGCTTCCCACAGAACAGCAGCTGTTCGGGGACCTGCAGGTGGAAGGTTGGGGGTCGCTGGGATTGACAATGTTGTTGAAAAGTGATCTTTTGCCAAAGACCTGTGGTTGCCTCCTGCTGGGGTCTGCCAAATTCCTGGAAGATGCAGCCTTCTGTCTCCCAGTGATAATTAAGGCTTGCTTCCCTAAGAATTGACTCACAATGACTCAAACAGGGCCTGGGGCCCTCAGCTACAAGAGCAGCCACTGAAAGTAGCAGCTAACTGTTTTGGGGAGAAGTGGAAAATCACACGTCCCATTGTTTCAGAATGTTTGGGGATTAGAACTGAAATCTCATCCCAGCCCTGTTACTAGTGTGTGATCTCGGGCAACTTTGTTTTCTCTAAGCCTCTGTTTCTTCATCTGTATAATGGGAATAACGACTTCAGAGCTTTGGGAAGGTTTAATTCTCTAAGCCTCTGTTTCTTCATCTGTATAATGGGAATAACGACTTCAGAGCTTTGGGAAGGTTTAAGGAGATTTCAGTGACTCCAGAGAACAAATCCACATGTTCATACCCATCCGCACAGGGAGCTGGGAAAGATCTCATCATTTAATAGCTCTTTGGATTGCGGTGGCAACCCTGAGGACACCCTATTCCCATTTTACAAATGAGAAAGTAAAGTGTACAGAGGTGTCTCAGAAATTCTGTCCTGGGGCCGGAGTGTCTTCGATGACATCACAACGACCAGAGTCCTGCACCACAGTCCCCAAGAAGTGCCTCAAAATCCCAGGCATTCAAAGATCTGATACATACATTCCTTTCTCTCAAAACTAAGTCCTAAAATCCTTAGTCCTGATTGAAAATATTAGCCTTTTCTGCTTCCCGTTCAAGTGCCTCCCACCAGCTGCCCAAAGTCTGCTTTTGCTGACAACACAAGATAAAGTCGGACCCCCCAAGGCAAACTGGATGCATCAGGGAAAAGACAGATAACACTGGCTCTTTGCTTGAAAACTGAGAGGACAGATGACTAAATTGTCGTTTTTAAGTTTCTGTTGCTTAAAAAAAAAAAAAAAATCCACGTTGGGGTTACAGTTGCATGTGCCTGATCTGGTAAGACTCCTTGTTGTCCGTCCCGAGAAGGATTTTACCCAGTAACTGTGCATTCCAGGCTTACACTCTCCCCAAAACACAGACTGTTCTCATAGTTAAAAATGTTAACTTCTCCCGGGTGAGGCTTCTCTTCTCTGCATGTTGCTTTTTCTCCATGTTTGGATTTATTGCTCAGCACTAGATCACAGATCCTTTCGACCACACATTTGTGACTTCAGCCTCTGCCATCAATGCTCTTTGGGCTTTGATTCTCTCTCCTCTGCTGCTTATTGGCATAAGGAGAATACGAATCCTGAAAATCAATAATGTCACCTTTCTTTTTGATGGTGGGTATTTGGGGAGAATAATTCTCACTGGAAGAGAAGTGGTTTTAAGAAATGCATGTGTTGTCTATTAAATCCATATTCAGGGAATTGCAAAGAACTTAGCAGTTCATTTTTACTGCTGATGGCCTTTGCTGTCACCCAGTGAAAAGAAAGACATTTCTAGTGTTTTATATCTGAACATGTGTTTTCTTCATTTGTTATTTAGTGTCGGACAACAACAAAAACTCTAATGATCTAACTCTTAAAGGGTATTGGTAGCGGGACCGTCAT